AAACATCAAATTTAAATTTGATGGCTGATGTGGCAATTTGATATTTACACAGTTTTACACTCCACCCGATATGTCAAATAAATAATTATTGTAACAGTCAAATCATTCAAGATAAAGAAGAAAAAAAATAAAAAAGTAAAATAATAAATGAAAGTAACAGCTAGCTATTTTTAAAAAATAATAAAATATTCATTTGACATCTTGCTTTTGGTATGTCAAAAATAACAACTGAACCTCCAACCTTCATTCCACATCAGCTTTGACAATTCGGTTGGAGTGATGTGAGATGTTATTTCTAGTTGTTAAATGTCTATGTGGCACTTTTGACATATCGGTTGGAGATGCTCTAAGATTGCATTTAGAACAAATTATTAGCTTCTTTGTTAAACAATTAATACACATTGGAACTAACAAAAAGTTTTAAACTTTTCATTTTCTCTCTCCATTTTCTACAATATGCATCATCCTCTTCACTCCCCAAGGCCACCCGACCCAACCTTCATCTTCTTCTTTGGCAAAACTCTCTTCACCATTTTTATGGGAAAGTTCTCCAGAAAAAAAAAGATATATACGAAGAAGCTACCTAATCTGCAAGAAAATAAAGAAGACATACAGAAACTTTGTAAGAAGAAGATTGGAAATTTTAAACTCTACTATCTTAATTTTTTTTTAAAAGTTTATCTAGCACAGTTCAGATGGAATGGAGGACCGTTCCTCCTGTATTGTTTTTCTCCTTTAAGTTTTTTTTTGGGTTCGAATTCCTCCTCCTGAAAAACAAAAAGAACTCTGACACATTCCTGATAACAAAAGAAGAATCAGTTTTCGAATCAATATTTTTTATAAAGATATCGCAGGACATGTTTTATGAAGCTGAACCAAATCAGCAAGTTAATGAATTCATTTCATACCCAAATCAGTGTTTGGTGGTTCCCGACCTCCATTCGCTACTGTTGAGTTGAGCCACTTTACGTCAAATCTTTATTTCCTTCACTTCTTAATATTATTTGTATCTTTTCAGCAACTAAATGTTATGAAGAATAAGGGGTTCGATCCTGCTCTTGTACGGAGTCACTACTTTGACCAGCACTTTACCCCTTATGGGCCGACCCGGTGTGAGCGGGGATTAGTCTGGGTTGTGGTTAAGGCTTAAAGGTGCCACCCATAGTTGGGGCCCATCCAGGACCACCTCGTGGTTCAGACAAAAAAAAAAAAAATGTTATGAAGAATAAAATAATTAAGCTACAAAACTCTTTTCATTGGGGAATTCGTTGGAAACGTTTTGAGGGTGTGTGTGTGTAAACTCTTGTACAATAACGCTATAATAAGCAAGTAGAAAGAAGATAGAAGATGAAAGAAAAGGATTGCCCAGAAAACCTAAAAACAAAGAGAAGGGAGAGAGAATATAAAATAATTAATAGTCTTAAAAGTTGGGCTGTTGGGTTGTTCCCAATGTTTATATTTTCTAAACAGTCAATAATTCATACAAATGTAATTCTAGTTGTTAAAACTTACTTAATTCGATGGTTTAAATAGTGTCAGAAAGTGTGATTTTACGTGGGTTCTTCATCCTAATCCTATATATAAAGTCAACATGAGCTTTTATTGGTGAAAGTAGGAGCTAGGGTTTCCAAGATCATGACTTTTCCTCCGTTTTCGGTGACAAATACAACAAGATTACTCATGTGTGAGAAGCGGAGCAACTAGATTACTCATATGTGAGAAGCAAAGCTTAAGCCTTAGGCAAAGGTTGCAAGAGATGTCATGAGTTGCATGGTTCCACTATTTTTTTTCCTTTTAACAAAATAAGATATATATCTATGTTTTTTATTTTTTATTTTTATGGAAAAAAGATACCACACCATTTGGTGCTTAATCTATTTAATTTTGTAAATTTAGGGCAGGATTATCTTCTTAAATAATGAATAGATTTTACTTTTGCACCACATCGTTGGTGGGCCGAACACAAATGTGATAAATGGTTTAAAGGTCCATTTTGATATTTTGGGGTCTGTATAAATAAATAAATAGTTCTAATGCTAGGTGAAAGAAAGCAGTCGTCTCTGGGTTGTGGTTAAGGCTTAAAGGTGCCACCCATAGTTGGGGCCCATCCAGGACCACCTCATAGTTTAGACAAAAAAAAAAAAAAAGCAGTCGTCCATTTCTTCAAGTCTCATACTAAAGAAATGGCATTGGCAATGGCACCCAAGATTGACGTGAAAAGTTTGGACGAAAAGTTAGAGAATCTCCACCGACTGTACTCTATGAAGAAGAAGAAAGAGTTGCATGATGAAGAAAGCAACAAAGTCATCAACATGAGAGCCATGGCGACCAAAGAAACTCCTCAAGAAGAATGGCAAATGATCATTCTAGAGAAACTTGTCGTGAAACAAGTTTTTGCCGGTGGAGGCTTCGAGTCTGTGCATAAAGGCATCTATGATGGACAAGAAGTTGCAGGTGCGGTGATTATGTCTATGTTTACATGCGCAAATTCATGTATATATATATATATATATATGTGTGTGTGTGTGCGCGCACAATTTTGTCAAACTTCACCGAAGGTGTATCTTTTTTCTTTATTTTTTCCTGATTATACAGTCGAAGTGATGGAGTGTGGAGAAGACGGCCGAACAAAATCTGAAATAGCTTCTTTGAAGAAAGATTTTAGGCAGGAGGTTTCTATTTGGCATAAGCTTGATCATCCTAACATAACTAAGGTACTACGACAATGGTTATTTGTTTTTGCTTTTCGTTCTTCTGTCTACTCTCAAATATTTTTATCTTTATTTGTTATTAATTCTTTTTCTTTAATTTTCTTGGTGATTAGTGTATTGGAGCCACAACAGATACCGACTCTGCCTCTGTTATTACTGAGTATCTTTCTGGAGGAACCCTAAAAGCCTTCCTCATCCAACACCGGAAAAAGAAGTTGCCTCTCAAGACAGTTAAACGGTTGGCAGTTGATCTTGCTAAAGGGTATCTCTCTTTTCCTGCATATGTTATTTGTCTTTGTTGATTTCTCTCCCTGCACCTAAGTAATACTGTAATAATACATACGTTTATACCATATATTTTTCAACATATATTATATATGCAAGTATACTATTACTAATGATATATGTATGTATGTGTTTGCATGCAGATTGATTTATTTGCACTCCAAGACGGAAAATGTGGATGGTAGGGTGAAGATAGCAGACTTTGGAGTTGCTCGTCTTGAGGCTTCAAATTTAGCCGAGATGACAGGCTACACGGGAACCCCTGGATACATGGCCCCTGAGGTATCAATTAATTCACTTTCTTTTTTATCTACTTAGATTTTAAAGGCTTGCCCTAGACTTTAAATTATATATTAATTGCAGCAATCTGATCAGTACCAAATGTTCTGATTGGATGATATGATGATGATGATGATGCAGGTCTTGGAAAGTAAACCCTACAACAGAAAATGCGACGTTTATAGCTTTGGGATTTTCTTGTGGGAGATGTATTGCTGCGATATGCCCTACCCTTAACATCACATTCTCCGAATTGACTTCGGCTGTTGTTTATAGCTTTGGGATTTGCTTGTGGGAAATGTATTGCTGCGATATGCCCTACCCTTAACATCACATTCTCCGAATTGACTTCGGCTGTTGTTTATAGCTTTGGGATTTGCTTGTGGGAAATGTATTGCTGCGATATGCCCTACCCTTAACATCACATTCTCCGAATTGACTTCGGCAAGGTTTTAACGAGGCCACTAATTTACTCCTCTAGTCCTCTGATTGTGCTGGATGTATTTTAAACAGTCAACATGAAGCTGATTTCAGTTTGATCCCAAAAAAAATGACAAAAATTGATTGATAATGTTTATCATTTAAGTTTCATCAGCACAAACGCAAGTGAAAATTAAAGTGAAGTGAAAATGAAAGACAGAACAAGGACAAAAACACGCTAAAAGAGAGATTATAACTAAGTAAATGGCGGAAATCACTTCAAAAAGACAGCTTCACTCGTTAACATACAATGTAAATTGTGAACATTAGCTTAAGAAGTCCGCCATGACTTTTAGCCCTAATTTTCTTTCCTACTATACAGTTGATGAAGCATCATGCTAACTCACCAAGAATGGTCAGTAACGTAAATGACTAAGATGTACGCCTTGTCCTGGGCAAACTGGTATCCTCCCTCTCGTTAAAATGGCATTTAAAACCAATTTTCCAGGCTATACAATTCTAAACTCAAAAGATCATTTAGACAGCTGTTTGAGCTATACATGGATGAACACCTGATTTAATGCAGCATTGGTTGCCACATTTACACCAGATTCAGTCAGGATCCATTTACCAATTCATTCTTCAGAAGCACCAGACTGTGGAGAAGATTCTTTAGAGCAATTAACCTAATGTGCATCTCGAAATTCTTGTATGAGTAGCTTCCGGATTTTCATTCTCAAACTGGAAGCCTCTTCAGGTTTGAACCACCGCTTGCCAAACTGAGAATTCAAAATAATTAATCAAGGAAAGGTCATAAGAAACACAGCCATATGGAAAGAGAAAAAAAAAAAAACATGTCTAAGATCATTGCTTTTCTTTTTAAGGAGAGGTTGAGAACACAAGAACCCTGTACCATTGCTAAATTTTTCCTTTGCAGCCTTTGAGGAGCCTCTTCAATGAATCGCTCCATGAAGAAAAGTACAAAGAGACCACAATCATACTCATTTCTCTGTTGGGGCACCTGGTAGGAGATACCAAAAGAGGTAAGCTTCAAACCAACCAAGTAAGGCTACACACTCAAGCCCAACAGTCCCCTCGTTTTGTGATAGCTGGGTACCATTCGACAGTTACCAACCATTCCAACTTACAAGGCACACTAAATTTCTAAGAGCTTTATGATGTTATACAATTTTAACACAACACTTGTCAGAAATTAGATATACTTGTAGACTGCACACAGAAACCAGAAAACAATCTAAATATTGGTCGTCCAACGTCAACAGATTCAATTGGTTGAAAGACTAGAAAGCTTCTAATGCAAACATCTTAAGTTGAAAACACAAGTGAAACAGAAGTATTTGGAGGAACAAAACTCAAGAATATGTGTCTTTCGTGGAGTAAGAATAAGGCATATTTCATGGCAATTCTGATAATTATATGCAAATTGGATATGTAATATGGGGCATAAAAACAGTTCAAAATAGTATTAATGGCATCTTAACATTTAAATTTGAAGCATGTGAGGACAAAATGTACCGCAAGTTTTTTCTCTTCAATTTTATTGGGAAGTTGGTTCCATATACTGTCTGAAATAGGAATATCTGAAACGGCGACTTCTTGATCCAAATAGTTCCATTCTTCTTTCAAATAGCTACATAGCACATCAGTATCAAATCCACCAGTGATGACTAATTGAAAATAACCTAGCAGGCAGAAAATATATGATAAAATTATATCTCAACGAGTCAGGAAGGGCATCTTTTGTCTCACCTTTTAATATTTTGAAAAACTGATCTGGGAGAATGGACTCCTAAGGAATCTAAATGAAGTACAATTGGTCCAGATTCTTCTTCCTTGTCAGGGATACAAATAATCACTAGACTCCAATGTACACTGGACATGTCAAATACCATAATAAAGTCAAATGTTTGGTAATTTAAGTCAAAGAAGGTATGAGCTGTGGGACACAGAAAGCATACCATGATAATTAAAGAGAGTTCCACGACAAAATTTTGACGTTGCGCATTTAATTAAAGAAAAAAATACATGAGCTTTCTCTAACAACACAACACATGTATAGTGAATATGTAGCAAATGTAATAGGTCCATATTACACAAAGTGAATGCATATTTACAGTTTAAATAAACAATTAACAGTCGCATACTAAAATGTCCAAATATTTGGTCTAATTCCTTTATTCTTCTAGAGGTATTGCTAATTTTCACCAGATCAGTTTATCAAAGCATTTAAAATTGATGAATATTAATATATTTAACCACTCATTTATAGAAGTCCTTTTTTTCTCGAATGTTTTCTCTTTCTAAATTCATTTTGTGTTTGTTACCAATCACCCAATTACAAAAGTCACCCACATCAACCCAGCATCACCAAAGTTAGACACAGTATATATCCGGCCTAATACAACACAGGTAGAAACTAAATGAAAAATCATCTGTCCTCAGCAACGCAGTCAAGTCAACTAACCACGCCTGAGACCTAAATCTGATTACTCCTACCAAGATTAATACAATATTATTCATCTGATTGCCAGATTATGGCTTGTACCACATTCTTGTGAGCCTCGTTCGGATAGTGGCAAGTAGAAATATATCTAAGACAAGCTTCTTGTGTATAATTGCAAGTCTGGCCACGAAAGTAATAACCTACGATATGCTAAGTATTTATAAAGAAAATGCACGCTGGAATTAAAAAAAATTCCAGACACAGTTTCCAGCATTTCATCTCTCATACTATATCAAGTAACAATTGAAGAAAAAGCAATTGTGCATGTATAGATGTCAAATACTTTATCCGAGTATGACCTTTCTAACAAGTTTTTTCCATGGGCATCCGCCACCGTTTATCTACCCATGCACAATCTGACAACTACAAGCATATATTCTTAGGAGTAACAAGAGAGAGAGGGAGAGAGAGACTTACTCTTCATGAATCGGAATAAGTAAATATGCCTTCTGGAATATATTAACACCCTTCCACCACCTTCTAAACTTACCAAAAAGTTTATCCTTGTCGTTCCCCTACATAGTACAAGGAAAATGAGACAGAAAATAAGCAGGGGAAAAGTGGGAATGATGTAGCCACTGCATAAAAAATGTTCAAATAAGTAATTTAAAAAAAAGAAAAGAGAGAGAGAGAGAGAGAGAGAGAGAGAGAGAGAGAAGGTAAGCTCTTCTTTGAATAACTTTTAAATGTCACTGCCAAAAAGTGCATAACTCAAACGATGCCACATATGTTCCACTGTTTATGAAACTAGAAAGAGATAATATGGTAAGAATAGTTGTCTTACTCTCTTAAAACTTACAAAGTCTCAGCCATATAGGCGACCATTTTTTTATACATATAACGGATTCTGAAGTTCTAACAACTACCCCAATTTTTAAAAAAGAAATATCAACCACAGAAGATAGAACAAGATAAACAATTACCTTATATGCAACAGCCTCTTTGAGCTTCTCGTAAAAAAATGTATTAAAGAAATGGCAGTCGAATATTCCCCTGTCCTTTGAGGATGCTTGTTGCTGTAGATATCTAGTCAAAAGATCCCACAAGTGAGTAAGTATTTAAACTTGATAGTGCCAAACACATCCAGAGAAATCATTATCAAGGGGAGAAATTACTCCACACATTGCCTTCAGATATTACAACAGCACATATGTGATATGGGAAAAGAGATACATGTGTACTTTTACTAAATGAGGAAAACAAATTCAACGTTAAAGAAAGGAATATACGTTTCCATTATTTTGTCCAGCAAATAGGCATTTATGGTTCTAATTAAGTTTACCGGATGTAGAAGTTCATAATAGTCGATGTCAAGTAGCATCCAGGATCAAGGCACTTGATGTCCGCATAACAAATTTCTACAGATTCTGGATCTCTTCTGAATAAAATAAATAAATGAAGCACGGGATGAACAATAGTACTCTAAATCCTCAACATTCAAAGAGGTTTCCTTGCATCATCCACAAAGAAATTATGTACCTTGATGGGTAGTAGATCTTCGTCTCTTTCATGCTGGAAAAAGAGCCAAGGTAGACAGGTTATTGTTGATAATAACTTCATATTGGTTAAGTCTGAAACGTGGTGAAAAAAAAAATTGAAATTCTAGATACCATTCAGGAAGTTCTTCTGCTTCCTCTGTCGTGTCCATAGACTGAGTTTCCTCGTCATCCACAACAACAATGTTCTGAGCCTGTTATAATCATGAAAACTATGGATCTGATTACTAAATGTAGAAAGACTGGAAGTGAAAGGATAAACCCTGAGGCAGGACACACGGTCCCCTGATCACACCGAAATACATCCAATTGTGGAAAAAACTTCACCCACCAAGACAACTTCTGAATAATAACAGTAGTTTCCAACTGAAAAGGAGGTGACAAGAGATAAATTGCAGAATGAAATATAACACAAGATCTTGTACCTTCCTAGGCCTCAAACCATTTACTTGAGAAGCATCATTCCTGCCAGAAAAAAAAAATATATATATATATATATATATATATATTATATATATATATATATATATTTAAGAAATACAAATTATCAAACTAAAGGGGTATTAGTCATTAGCTATTCAAGCCTGCTAAAAGAAGCATATAGGAATGTTACCTTGTGGCACAACTAGACATGTTCTCCCCACAGTGGCGAAGTGGATAAGGGGAAGAATCCATGCCTTTATGATCACCATTTGAAAGAGAGCATTTATCTCTTTTATGATAGAAATTGCTAGGGCATTGACGACGCAAAAATCTTGATGAAGAACGACCTTTATGTCCTCCCTTTTGCAATAACTCTCCATTGTTTTTCATGTTCTGACGGTTACAGGGATGTAAAGATGATTCTCCATGATATTCACTGGCTGTCCTAGAATCTGACTGCATAATAGATTAAGAATGAAGTGATTGTATTCCAACTTTAGAGGCCACTTAAAAAATTATAAAGCTAAATGGAGCTCATTACATTTTCTTCCAGCTTTCGTTTAAAAAGGGAAGCGAATGAAGCCTCCTCTCTGGAGCCAATAGAAGCACCTAAAAGTCACATTAAGGTTTCTTAAACAGGAGTTCTGAAAAACATATAATGAGATTTGCAATAGAACAGTAGCAAATTAAATGCAACCTATAATTCTAGTTAAAAGAAGATATCCATGAATGACCTTACCTATATTTCTAGAGATCACGGCTTGTGTGGGCTTCTCCCACTTACCAGTACCCTATTCAATGAAAACGAGATGGAGTCAGAACCCAGTTTGATAAATGCTTTACATGAACATTGAGAACTCTGATTACCATGAAGCAGAATTGATATAAAACCACAAATGAGGCTCCAATAAGACGAAGTAATCCAAAAAAGCATCAGTCTTTTACAATGACAAAACTCAGCCCATAAACCTTTGCAAACGTATCATCTTAATTTAGTGAGTACCGGCACAAACCAGCAGCCAAAAAATAAACCCAAAATTAAAACTTTCCGCTCAATTTTTCCTCCATTTCTGGGAAACCAAACAGAACATAAGGTACGGCCAGCCAAAAATCTTTAAACTCTACACAAAAAGCAAGCAAAGCAGAAGAATCAAAGTCTAAGCAACCCAAAACGCACCGTCCCGTCCCGTCTTAGTTTCCTCCGTCGCTCCCATTCGTCCTCCATTCGCTTAAGAGCAATTTGGAGCTTTTCGCCTTTGTCAGGCAATCTGTGGGCCATCTTCTGCTGAGTAAGCTTGTTCCGACGAATCGAATCATCGAGCTCGGAATCGGGCATGTCCTCGTATAAACGATCTCGCTGCTGATCGTCACCCATTCCAGACTGCTTAGGTGGCTCGTCGGCAGTGGAGGTCTTTGGCTTGGGCTCCGGCACGGCCACTCTCTCCAGTGGGTCGCAATGGTCATCGCGAGAGTCCAAGACGTTGTTCCAGTCAATATCAATCCCCCCCTTCTTACCCTTCTCTTCTTCCATGCATGGAATGTGAAAGCCCAAAAATGAGGGCTCTCTGAAACTCACTCTCTCTCTCTCTCTCTCTCTCTCTCTGTGTGATTGTGATTCTCTCACAAACTCACTGCCTCCCTCTCTCTCTCTCTCTCTCTCTCGTATTTGGGACTGTTAAGTCAGTAAAGTCTTGTTCTTTTTAGTCTTTTGGTAATATTGAGGTCAGCACACAGAGGATGACACACCATTTATGCGTTTCTGTTTCATCTTTACTATCACCCCAAAATTGGGTTCGTCTTCATCATTTTCATTTTCACGACACGAAGTTTGAGTTTCGCCCCTTCTGGTCCAGGTCATCTGGGAATTAAAATGGCCTAAATTTTAGTCCTGCCTACTAAACCCTAAAATCGTAAGCATTTCCCATGAGCCCATTCCATTTATTGTGGGCTGGCCCAGTTCATGATTTTTTTTGGGTAAATACCATGAGGTGTCCCCACACCTGAAGAGTGGGATTAATCCTCACTCGGGTTTCAGCTTGACACTGGCCACAAAGTGCTTCGAAAGAGTTTCGAACCCCTGTCATTGAGGCACTAGGTAGCTCGATAGCTGGAGGTGGCAGTTTGTCAGCTGTACCACACCTTGTGGTTAACCAGTTCATGATTCTAATTCAATAATCACTCCTCATTTTTGTTTTTAAAAATATTAGGTTTATTTGTTGAAATACCCCATGTGGTTTCCAAATTGTCTCAGTTTGCTCCCAGACATTTTAAATGACTCAATATTCCCCCTAAACTTCCATTCCATGACCAAGGTTGTCTCATTCCATTAGTTTTCACATGAAAATCATTATGGCTTATTTACTGTAGTACCCCTTGAAACTTTAGTTAAATCTCACTTTACCCCTCTAAAGTTAAAATGACCCACTTAACCCCCTTGACTGTGGTTTCGTATTCTACTTTACCCCCCACTGTTATCTCCATTAATAACTCTGTCAGTTTTTATGACGTGTCGATGAGCACATAATTATTACATTTGTTATCCCTAAATTTAAATTGTTAGTGCTTTAGTTAATTTTGTTTAAAGTCTTTTTATTCTTCTTTTTAGGTGGAGCTTCCAAACAATTAAATGCAATTGGAAGTTGTTAGTAAACAAATAAATGAATGAAGAAGTGGTGATGGCATTGATATAAATAAAACAAAAGCATTGAAGTGTGGCAGCCAAACAAATGAGGATGAAGATTTGGAGGGTGCTGCTAGCACTAGAGTGAAATAAACAAAGAAAGTGGAGTCATCAACACAAGTAATGGAAGCATTTGATGGCAATTGACGGGTGAAACACTTGGTAGTAGCAAGGTGGAATAATAGTTTAATCAAAGCAAGTTGCAACATGAGCAATTCCCATTCTCTATAAATAGAGTGTTGCCGTAGAAGGAAAACACACCAAGCCTCACAACTTGAGCTTTCTCTCCTTCCTCCATATCTTTCTAAGTTTTAATTTCTGTTTTTAGTTTTATTTTATTATGGGGAACTAACTCCCTAGCTAAGGCTAGGGAGAAAGCTTTTAATATAAGTGTGTAATTTTTATTAGTTTGATCCAAACTTAAGCTTTAATGTGAATTTGTAGTTTTTGTTCAAATGGAATTTGTAGTTTTCTTTTTAATTAATTGATGAATGTTTGATAATCTATTTCATGGGTTCAATCATGTTTTTCCCATTGTGTAGTAAAAACTTTCATGCTTTTAAAAGAGAAGAGAATTACTAAAGATTAATAGAATTT